TTTTTGAGATAAATCCTTTATATATCTACCAAATGCAGAGAAATTATTATGGGGTTGAAAGGAGGCATGTGCCAAAATAAGAAATAGTGAAAGATCATGGTTTTTAATTTGTCTGGTTGGAATTTCTTTCAGATATCAAAATCACAAGGGCGCAAAATCACAGATTCAAAGCCTGAGTGCTGATGAGTGGCTCAGGTTGATTTTCACACACAACAGAATTTGGATGTCATGGCCAAACTAACAAAACAATTGTTACAAAGCAAAACAAGCAAATGCAAAAGAAATAAATGCAGACAGGCCGTACTTACCTCTGTGTGCTTCTCTGGCACTGGCCACAGGCTCACAACAGGACCTCGGTCCTTCATTTGTATGGTATCGCTCATATTGATGTAGTTCTTCAGCTCAATCACTTTGTTGGCCCAAGAGATGTCAGTCATCCCGTGGTCAGAGAAGAGGAGGACGTTGACCTCATCCTGAAGGCCCTTGCTCTGTGAATGAGTGCATATACACACACACACACACATTATATATATATATGTATATGTATCACCCCATAGACACAGGGTAAAAGCTTGAGCTTGAAACCCTTCACCCAAACACATCCGCATGGTTCACAGTCTGAGACAGATCGACATTAAATCTCCTTCCAAGCTGAGCACAAACTGATTCCAGCAAAGCAGGTGTCCCTCAGAACTGTTGGTCTCAGGGCTTTCCTCTCATTTCTGTCTGAGCTTCCAAATGCTGCTTATACAGATTTACCCCGCTGTTCTTTCTTCACCCTTAAACCTGAGCTCAAAATCTCATCTTAATCCAACTCCACATCTGCAAAAATGCCATTTCTGCTTGCTATGAAGTACAGGATAATAAATCTCCATCCCACAGAACTGATGTCCCAATTGCTCTTGAACAGGATTTTATCTTACTTCTTTCTTGGGAGTAAATGCTGGGAGTAAAGCACCTTTGTCATTGTCCCAATTGCTCTTGAACAGGATTTGATCTTATTTCTTGGTCAAAATGCTGGGAGTAAAGCACCTTTGTCATTAATCCATCCACTGCAAAGGTGTTTCCTCTCTTCACAAACACAAACATTGAGCATTGCATCCTGTATGATTTATTGAAATTGCAATTGTATTATCTTCATTTAAGTACATAAAAAAGCTCTAATATATATACTTGCTATTGTGAAGAGACATCAGAAATAACCATAAAACCTACATTTACCCAAAAGCTTGATGTCCTTTCTCTCACCACAAAAATCATTTAGATAATGTTTTTAAAACAAAGGTTGCAGGACAGAGCTCTGAGAAGTGCCATAAAAGCTGCTATAAAAATTAATTGTCTGATTCCACAGACCTTACCAAATGAGCAGTTTTGATTCGTTCGCCCACTATAAATTCCAGTTGGCAACACAAACTATAAACAGAGCAACATGTATATTGGTCTATGGTTTCCTGGGGCTATTGGTATAATAATCCACCAAGAGGATTTTAATGCTCTTTGCAGAACAGGGGAACAGTATCTGAATGCCCACAGGAGAGCAATAGCCCCTGTTTTTGAGGAAATAAAAGTTTATGGCCAAGACATCCAATTAACAGGTATTAAACAGACTGTCCACAAACCTAAGAAGAGTAGTTTGAAAAACTTTTTCAGATATTGTGGTAGGATCTCAAGTAATTGTCATTTTGTCAGGTCATTGTCAGGTCTCTGACAGCTCCTTGTGACGGCAGAATTATTTTAAAGGAATGGGCACCATTTTGCCCTATTGATTTGGCTTCTTTAACAAGTTTCAGCAACCCAATGGCAAAAGTAACCAGGGCCAGGACAGAGGAGACACAAGAGACAAGGCACGAGGGGCCGTGAGATGCCATGTGTGCAGGGAAGGGCATGCTTGAAGGGTTGCAAAAGTTGCAGGCGCAACGAAACACCCGCAGGCGCTTCGCTTCCTGAGCTCACTGACCTTGATTTGCTGGATCATGTTGCTCAAGGCTTTGTCCACCTCCTTCAAGGCGCTCTTGCGCTGCGGGGACGCGGGGCCGTAGTGGTGCCCTTCCACGTCGATGCGCTCGTAGTAGACAGCTGCCATCTCCGCGCTGCCGTTGCTGGAGGCGCGGGAAGGGGAAGCGGTGAGAGGACGGCACACACCAGGGCAAGGACACATCAAGGCGTCGACGTCCTTTCCCACATCGCTGCTTGCAGTCACTAAGTCCCACAGGAACCATTTCCAGCCCCCTGGCTGAGCCAAATTTCCCAAAGAAAGCAAACTCCTTCAGTCATCCCACCTCTGCTTTGCTCTTCGTCAGACCCCCAACTCCAGCAGTTTCGAGCCTATTGGCTGGTTGCAGCCAAGTCCAACACAAGGGGCTCAGTGACTACCACCCCCAGAAACCACTACCAGAAACAAGGTTTTGTCACCTCCTTGCTCGCAGGGGCACGCGGGGTGGTCAGAGAGCCACAGCAGAGGCGCCAGGCGAAGACTGCACACTCTGTCCTCACAGCCCTCTCCTACGCCTCCTGATCAAGAGGGCTTTGCCTTTAAAGAGCCACAAGAAGTTCTAATTTCTGTGCTCAACGCCCTTATTTAAAATCTTGTGTTAATTACTAGCTAAGTGTGCTCTAATTAAGGTTTGGCACTTCTGGCTTTCTCCTGTGTGAGGCCTTCAAAATGGCTTCAGCCATCTCAGGACATGCCCCTCCATGACCTCGAGAAACCAGGACCAACGGCTCGGGATGAGATTACGGGAAAGGGCGGACTCTTGTTCAGGAATATGGTCAATAGACACAGGCAAGCCAAGGTAATCTCCGAGGCTGCACAAAGTTGGCTAATCACACACTTCTGCACTGAATGCCCTCAGCCTAATTAGCAGGGATAGAGTATAAATCAATGCCAAATTACATTTTATGACCATTTTTACAGTTCACTGTTATTCTTACTGGGAGTAGTCTTGAAGATAAAAATGCAAATCTGTGCTCATGAGGTTCAGGCCTAGTCTATTCCCACTGTGCTTCATACATGCCAGGGTATGCCATCCATTATATATACCTTTATCTAAACCAAAATTCCCGTAAGAGAAGACTATGTGTGTATTTTCCTGACAGGTCTAGCTTCTTTTATTAAGGATACCCTAGCAGTCTACAGTAATGGGCTAGATGGAGGAGAAAAAAATCAGAGGTGAATTGAGGCCTAGTGCTGGCCTTTGTGAGTTTGCAAAAGGCCTGGACAAAGGATCCCTGCAGGAAGCTGAGCGGCTCTGCCTGAGCAGGGAATTTCTCTGCCAGTGACACTGCAGTATTTGCTGTAATTCTTCATGTTTTTAAAACCATTCAAATGAAGCTGCCCGTCCTTTCCCTTGCCCAAATTTTCATCTCAGCATTGCTTTCCCCCTATACCAGGTATAGATTAATTTCTAAAATTTAACCCTGTGACATACATGTTCATTGAGCATATTGACACAGTTATCTTCCTCTTCGACCACTTACACTTTTTTATGGCTTCTGTGTAACCTAATGACCATTTCAATCCAGTCCCTCAGGAGTTTGACTGCGGAAAGCAAACGATCTTATTTAGATTGTGATGGGATTTCTCAGTGAGGTCTCGGTCCTCCAAGCAGGAAAGCTGTACTTGGTATGTGTGACCTCATGGGACAAGCCCACGCTGCACCGTGTGCCTAACAGTTTGCATGGTTGGGTACCATCCAGAGCTGACAGGAATGAATATGTCTTTGCTTCCATTTTCAAACTGTTTTTCTGAGAAAACTAAGTTGTTCTGATAACGCCTGTCATAGGGGAAGTAACCTGTCTTTCTAACTGTACATTAGTCCCTATCTTCTCCCATCACCAGTAAGTTTTGAAAGAAATTGCTAAAGAAAACATGTTAAAGATCTGTGACTTTACCAAAAGGGTTTTGGTTTATTTCTTGCAAGTACCACAAAATCTTCGCAACATCTGTCCAAAAAGTAAGTAGATGACAGCAGCTGTAAATTATAGTTGTGGAAAAGACATAAGGGAAGTTCTAGTTTGTCATGTCAAAAATGGGTGCTTGACTTGATTTTAAAGGTTTCTGGTGGACAGGATGCTCCTGTGCCTCAGTTAGTGGCTCCTGCCACTGCAGCCTCTGGCTAACAGGCTTCTTAATTAGAGGGCAGAAAGGAAACACATAGGACCCGCTGGCTTCTGTGCAGCATCAGGAGTCAGAAACTCCTTCAAAAGATGCGTGTAACAAGAAAAAAAAACACTCCAGACTCTCCTATCCAGAGAGGTTAAGTCCTGCTAAATGAGCGCTCCTAAAAACATGACATTTCAGAGACTTTACTTCCCTCAGGCTGGCAGCAACAGGGAAGATTGTTTGCCAAGTCCTGAAAGACTAAACAAAAAAGATGGGTGACAGGGAAAAGATGGGAAGAGAAAAGATGAGGAAAACTTACTGTCATTTTCTCTCTTTTCAATTTGTTCTGTGGCTTCCTTTCTTTCCCTGATTTTTCTCTCTCTTGGGAAGTGCCAGCTTTGGCCTCTTGTGAGAGGCACCACTGCCTCCCTTGTGCTCCTGCCCATTTCTTCTTTCTCCCAGCCTGGGTGAATTAGCTAGAAATGCTTTCGATCGGCTCCAGCTAGCCAAAAGAGCAGCCAGGAGGGCTGGAGTTTGCAGCAGTTCATGCCTCACTTTTCATTGTGTCCCCAGTTAAAAGATAAGCTTTCTGAGGCAATTCTGCCTTTCAGCACCCCATCAATGCTTTCCTCATTTTGGAACCTTTTTACTTAGGAAAAAAAATCCTCATCTCAGTGCTAGACTTTTTAGATTCCGACTGCTAGAGCAGTTTGTAAGTATTGAATTAGAAGTGCATCCTGGCATGGGATAAATAGAGAACCACCAGTGCTTCAGAAGAGGAAGCCCAGCTATAGCTAAGGTAAGACCCAGACTACACATGTGGTTGTGGAGTTGCAACTAATCTAATCTCCCCTGAATTTATCAGCTTTGTGGAATCCCCCCTCATTAATACCTGGATAGGAAATGGGGAAAATGGAAAGCTGGATGTGCAGGGCATTTTTTTTCGTAGGAGTCAGCTGGCTGAATACATAGAAGCCTATATTCCCATCACACCCACATTTGTACGGAATGATTGCCTGCCCCCAAAACATTATGTCTGTGATGTTCCAAAATGCAGGAGGAGTCAAAACTTCAGCCTCACAAATGAATGACCGGAGCTGAATTTCATAATTGACAAATTCCCATATTTCAAAGTCTACTAGTGAAGGTGAGTGAGCTGATTTTCACAGACTAATACCTAATTGGATCAGACCTCATATCTTCAGGAATAAATATCAAAGAAAAATAGGAAAAATTGGTATGTCTCCTCTGATTTGAAAACTGTGAATGAAAAAAAAAAAAAAGAGGAATATTCCTTTTCCTTTCCCCTTATTATGACTGGCTATCTTTGTGTGTGGTTATGTTTCTGTGACTATATTGCACAGCCGTCTGAGCTCCCATCTTCCCTTGTGGGTCATCTTGAAAAGCTGCCCTGCAGCAAGGCCCAACCGACCCCTCTTCCCGAAGCATCGCGCCGCGGAACGGCAGGACGTACCACAAGGACTCGAGAGCGTCACTGATCGCATCCGCAAAGTTCTTGTCCGATGGGACGCTGAAGTACTCGCGGCAATAACTTGGTCTCACGCCAAGGATTTCAACCTCACAACCTGCAAGCGGAAAATGTGGTAAGTTTAGTATTTTCACCTTGATTATAGACACACTACCATGGAATCCAAGTTCAGGTTTGTAAGCTCTCCGTGATGTTGCTTATTTTGCATCTTTTGGGCAGGAAATCTTACGTTTGGGGATAGAAAAGGGGAGAGAGGTTGGTTTGATGAACACCTGCGGCAAACCATACATTGGATGCTTTTATTTTCTCCTTTTCAAGAAGGTCTATGAGACCTGGCTGTGACAAACTCCCATTCTCTCCCAGCAGATCATTTCCACCTAAATCACTAGGTTATTTTCATTTTTAGTGATGTGGCCACATATGCTCTGTTTCTAGACTTCTAGTATGATAGACCTACATTTTGTTCCCTCAAAGTCCAGTAAATACTTTCCAGACAGACACACACTATCTCACTTAATAATATTCTCTATAGTGAGTATTTTATTACGGGATACTCGCATTGCACTATTAAACCTGTTTCCCAGGAGATATTATTAGAACAATATAAACCAATTAACTCCTTTGGTAACTTGCAGCCTTTGCTGAAAAATGGTCTGTTTTGTGGCCCCAAATCTTATGGCCACAAATGCCACAGGAGAACATGGCTCTGAACACACAAGAATGTATTTCTGTGGGTTTTTGCCCTTTTGCTCTCTGAAGTCCTGAATAAGATTAATGTTTAAAAGTCCTGTGCTTTGAGAATCACTAAGCTCATGCAAATTATCTTGAGAGGGCCCTCTATCTAGAGCCCTCCCTCCACAGTTACACATTTTTTGATGTATTCCTGGGACACAAGAAAAAGGGTATCTTTTGCCAAAGAGCCCCTATATACTGCCATATAGTCGGGTATATACAGCCAGGACATAACCGGAGACACAAGCACAGCCCCAGTTAAATTCCTAATGCTTTAGTTAAGGTGAATGATTGCTCACAGAAATAAGTAATGTGATGATTTAGCCTTTTTTCTTTTTGCCTCTTCACATACTGATAACAGTTTTTAATTTTCTCAAATCTCATTCCTCAAAATTACTCAAGAGATAACTTTAAATGACTGTATTAAGCTCCTGGGGGACCTGGGATATTTTGCTTGATCAGATATCTATATCTTTGCTGTTCTCAGACTGTCCAATGATGAGCATGATATAAAAGACTAGAGAGGTAGAAATAATTAGAAATATTTTTGACCACTAAATAACGTCCTGTAAGCACGCAGATCATTGACAGTAATATTGAAAATTCAGGCTGCTTACATTAGGCATCAAGATAGTGCATGTAGCTTTATTGCCTCGGTGATTAAAATAACTTGAAATTGGATTCTACGTATGAAAGCTGGATACAAATTAAAAAAAAAACACCCGCAAAGCAAAACCATTTACTATGAAGACCCTTTAATAAATAAATAAATAAACCACTTCATTTTGGTAGAGGCCAAGAGAGCTGGTAAAATTTCTCACTTAAGTATAAAGGGAAAGGAAATCTAATAAGGATTTGGAATAAGACAAGATGAATATTAAGTTTTTCGTGGTGAAAGTACAAATAGATGTGCTGTATTTGCTGAGATTTAGTGTTCTGCACAGTTTTTATGACACTAAACCGCTATTTAAAAACCCAGACTTCTGGAGCAGGAATAAGGACTTCTTTCACAGTGATATATAGACTTCTCTTTATCTTTTGACATTGGGACTTGAACTTCTGCCAACTTTAAATTGCATTTCTAAACATTGATTTAACAGTTGGACACTTCGTGTCATAACAAAGTTTTGAAAACTTTCCAGACCAGCTCAATGGTTTGGAAAATATTGCATTTAAATGGGGACAGGGGGAGAAGAAAAAAAAAAGAAAAAAGCTGAGTTTAGAGTCTCTTTTCCCTTTCTCTAATTTCAGTGTTTAGAAAAGATGTCATTCCACTTCAGCTGAAGCAGTTGCATACACTGCTGGAAAATGAAGCAGTTGGAGGGTTTTGTGTTACATCACATCCACGGAGCCGAACGTGAGGAGCTCAGTAAAGTTTCTGGGAAGCTCTGGAAGACTTTGACGTTGGTGATATCACCAGGTTGCTCTTGTGCTCCCCTGGAGCTTCACCCGGTGCTGGAGAGTCAGTCCTTCGGGAGGACAACCTGGGCTGCAGCACTGCACATTTGACCTCAGATATTGTATATTACTGGGCATTGAGCCATTTAGAAGATGTGTAACATTTTGCCCCTGAATGGAGACCTGAGGAGCAGAAACTTCTAAATAAACATGCTGTGTTCATCTTTGAAGTAAGCCCCTCCTTCTTTGAAAAACTGAATATTCATGATGGAGGAATATAAGGAAGAACATGAAGGTGGAAATTTTAGATTCAGCCTTTGCAAAGCCTTGGAAGTTACTCTGATGAGGAAATTGCAGTAAAACAAGTTAACCCCAGGAATTAGCTAGGTGACACTTGCATTTGTGTTATGTTTGTGTTGTGCTATTTTGGTCAGTCTTATTTGGATCACTATCTTTACTGTTGGATAGAGAAAAAATACCATCTTCCAGAAGAAAATGTGATGAATTTGGCTGTATACTTTGTGTCCTGCTAATAAGTCCTCAAACTTTTCCTATTTGGATCTTTATCAGAATATTTTAGATTAATTACTAATGGAATATCCTGAGGCTGGAAAGTTAATAGCACATCATTCTCTGTACAAAAGTCTACAGGATCTCCACCCAGCTTGACTACTAAATCCTTGTATTTTCTTTAATTTCTTTTGGGATTGCTTTCCCAATAGAATGTCATTTTAAGAAGTAAAGCCTTAAATAATGAATCTAGAAAATGTCAAACAATTACACCCTTACTGTGGAACTAGAAGACAGTTAAAAATCATATGGGGAAAAAATGTATCAAATAAATTCTGTTATATTTGGCATGATTTTTTTGTATTCCAATTGCAACTGGACTCATACTTCAGGCCAATTGCCCTGCAGTTTAGTTCAATTACTGTAGGGTTTTCCCTGCTTCTCCCTCGATGCCCAAGTCTTCATAGCCTGTGTGTTCATTGGGAACACATACGTGCTTAAAAACAAGCATGTGCTTCAGGATTTGCTGAACTGAGGCATTAAGGACTTTGCCCAAGGTTGAATGTCACAGATAATAACAGACAAAGGTATCTGTCACAATCCACAGATAAAATATCATATCCATGCAAAAACTCCCTTTGACACCAATAGGACACAGTTCCACCACCTGGGTCATAAGGAAGTAAACGGATACATTTGACACTAGGAAAAAGGAATGCTCCACTCTTCCTTGCAATTTTACAAGAAAACATACATATATATACATATAATATATGTATGATTTATTGTAAAAAATATATAAAACGTGTGTATGTATACATATATAAATACACGATGTATAGAATATATATAAATAGACTCTCTCTAAATATATATATAGAGAGAGTATTTCTAGCAGAATACACACACACACACGAGTTATGTTTGCACATATATGTATGCATACATACATATTCCCCTCATTGGTCTCCTTGGGCACTTCTCAGAAGTTGAGAGGTTCTTCACCACTCAAAAGGCTACATGACTGAGCTGGGTAAAGTCTAACAGTATTCGGTGAAAGTGATACTGTTCTATCAGTTTTCAGTAGCTTTCTGTAGACTAGCGAATCATATCTATTCAGTGCAGATCTACTTGTAGTTAAAACTGAATAGAAACAGGCATTTTCATAAATTTTTAGAACAATCTCTACATTCTCTTATGCTTGAGATATTTATATATGACATTGATATATATTAAGATAGAGATATCAAGAAATGTATTAAGATATTTTTTTATATAGCCTTTCATATATAATTCACATATCCTACTACTTTCATTTGGGTAATCTCCAGTAAGAAGCAGCTTTCTTGAAGGGCAATCCAAGACACTGTCTCCAGCCTGCTCTTCCAGACTGTTAACGGGATTTGAGCCTGCCAGGTAACATTTACTTCCTCAGATCTTTTCTCTCTTCAGTCCGGTAGAAATGACCTGGCTAGTTTTTGAATGTAACCATCCAGGTTTGCTCTTCCAGCTCTTCTCTCCAGAAGCCCATCAGCCACATCGTAGGGGATGAACATGATGGGCTGGGGCTGCCTCGGAGCCTACGGCGTGAGTCAGCGGCCGTCGCTCTGCCTGCCAACGCTGGCTGTGTTCACAGAGAGTTTCCAACATGTGCTCTTCAGGCTGCAGTTGTACGCACAAGGGTACTTGCTTACTGCTGAGGTAGCAGAATTAACAGGTCAAAAAGGCAAGAAGCTGCATATCTTGCAAGTAGTCCAGTTCAGCTGCACTGCTGGGACATTTATTCCTATGTGGTTGGCTAAATGAAAAACTAAGGGGATAGACTTCTTTGTGAAGAGACTTGTCATCGCACATCCCTAGTGATTCCTGGGGAAAAGACTTGCTCCAATATTGAGCAAACCAGGAACAGGGAGGCCAAGCCACTCCAATCGAAGGGCTCAGTCTAGGGTAACTGGGACCTTGGCTGCGTTAATGTTGAAGCTCCAGCTCACCAACCAATGCCTGGGGTTTGCTCTCCCCACAAGGAAAATTCACAGCTCTCGGCTGCTTATTTTCAGGTGAGAAAAAAAAACAAAAACAAAAACAAAACCATGACACCAAAGCCAAAGACCAGCATGTGAGGGGGATGGTTATCTTTTAACTCTGGCCAGTGACCTGGTCCACAGCCCTGCTTCATGAGCTGAGGCTGTAGGTGGGCCTTTACTTGCTAACTATAGTGCATGAAAGAATCATCCTATAGAGTATGGTGTACTTAAACGTAAAGAGACACCACTAAAATAGTAATAGTTTCTGACATACTAACCTGGCCAGTAATACATAGAGACATTCTTCTTTTCTTTCATCATGGTGACCCACAAGGGCTCTGATCCGTTCCACCAAAGAGGCAACAGGCTTTCTTTATTCACACCAATATCAAAAGACACATTTGTAACTGGGTCCCACATGTAGTTTCCAATCATCTGATGGACCTCACAGTGGCGACCTACAGAGAGAGGGAAAAAAAAACCCAAAAAAGCATAATTAATGCTTAATTAGCACCACTAATAACATTATTGCTGTTCCATGCTCACATGAGACTACCTAGTAACTCATCTGAAAAGCCATGGTGAAAACCTAGGAAAGTTTCATATTGCAGCAGCTTTTATGATCTCCTTGCCCCTGCTACCTTTTATGAATGTTTGCTGGGTGGTAGTCTCCATCCGCCATCTCCATTAACTGCCTAAAAGTTAATTGCTGAAGTCTGACTTAGTCACCTATGATCCCTTCACAGTCAGTGGAGAAAAGAAGCACCTCTGGATAATTCATGCCATCCTAAGGAAAACGACTAAGATATCTGGGAGGAGTTATGCTCTGGAAGTGCATATTACTTTAATTAGAGCACTCAGCTAGCGACAGCCAACTTCTAGATGGCTAAAGCTGGAAGAAATGACTCCCATGGCCTAGGGCCCGATCAACACGCTGCTTACAGCCCACACAGACAGGCCTCTGTGGTGGCAGCCCGTGCGGATGCCACATGTTCAGCTGACGTCTGGCTCCTTCTAAGTACACAACATCTGCCAAGTCTGAGGCTATTTTAAGGTACTTGCTGGCACATGGACCCAGAGGACTGCAGGAAGCAGTCTGTAAACAGGAAGGAGGAAAAAGCGCTCTCTGGAAACATAGAATAAAGTCTGGGAAACTCACATTTACCCCCTCTTTCATCGTGCACTTAACATGTATTCCTCAGTACTGATATTTAGACATCACAGTTTATTTAACAGTGCTTGGAAGAGGGCCAAAACAAACGAAAAACTATGCATAAATTCCTCAGTGACGGTAAGAACAAGGGAATCAGACATCATATAGCAGGGAGTTGACCTGTCCTCTCCATCATCGCCTTGCTACCTAAAGCTACTGAGTTCACTAAGACTCTTTTTAGAGCAAGAGCTACACATCAGTCCCCAAGCAATCAAGCTCATTCTCTATATCTACATTTCTTGGGCACACACCTATAGGAAATCAGTTCAGAAGGTCCAAAGATACAAGGGATTCACAGCATATTCAGTGGGAGAAACTTTACCTTAAAAAAAAAAAAAAAAAAGCATAAGATATTGTGGTTTTCTACAACCTAGTCTGAAACCCTTGTATGCCACGTTTATTTTCTGTCATTGATTGCTGGGGTTTTGCAAGCACACACTTTGTTCTTGGTTGCAAAGGATCATTTCATCAGACATTTTCAGCTCTGCAAACTTTGTGTATGTGTCATGTTGGAAGGGGTTTTGAAAATCTCCTTCCGTACTATGAAGCATTTTACTTATGCAAAACATTTCCTCCTCCCTAGAGTAGAAAAGCAGCCCAGTTTGTCGCAGCTACTGTTATTCACTGTATTAAAACAAACACATGTACAAATATACAAAAACTGGTGGACTGGAAAAGAAATCTGTTCTTATGCTGCTAATGGCTTTTTCTTTTTTTCTCTCTCTCTTTGCTATAAATCTAAAAAGTGTTGGTAGCAAGCTTCTCTAGAGCATAGAAAAGCCTTAGTGCTTGGAGAGCTACAACTCTTCAGCTCCTTCAAGTCCATATATGCCCGAGGATACATTAACCTGGCAAAGTGCATGCAGGCATCCAGTGCCAGCCCGAGAAACCTGGAGACTGGTGCTGAAGCTGTTGGGCAGGTCACGTATTTATATATCATATCATCTTCATATAAAAACAGTGACCTCCAGCTGCTACTGATGCAAACTCCATGCAGGTCTTCAGAGCTACCATCAGTTCTCCCTCCTCTTCAAGGGACAGGACAAAGACTGTTCTTGGTAGTGTTGCTGATCATCATATCAGGTAAGTTCATTCTTCTAGGGACATCAGCTGTCTTTTTTACTGCTGCCTTCGCTTTAAAGAAAACTTGTTTCATTTGGTATTTTGCAAAAATATACTGGTTTTCAAAAAATGTGCTGGATTTCAAAGAGATTCAATATGTGGATAGTTATGCTCTTGGAGAAACCCTGTAATCACAAGTGATGCAATTCATCTGCAACACAGAGGGGTAAGAGAAATTCAAATTTCTCCAGAAAGACCCTAGACCTCCCTGGAAAACCCCAGTCTCCAGCTAACCCATTTTTGGGTTGCTCGTCCCAGCAGCTTCTCATCAGCACTCTTCAAAAAGTATGCCTGTTTCTAATTTGATTTTGTCCCATGTTAATCCTCAGCCATGGCTCTTCTGTGCATTGCCTGCTGGCAATAGCTTGTCTGCAATAGCTGACACTTCTTCCCCTGAAGACCCTTGTGCCCGGAATTAAGGTCACCTCTCAAATTTCATTTGGGTCACCTGCAAAACCTGAGTGCTTTACATCCTCTGTTTTAAGTTATTTTCTCCAGCCTGAGAAAATGACCTTTGGTGGTCTCCTTTTTAATAATTAGCACAACAGCAACACAGTGCGAGACAGTCACCATAACATGCAGAATATTATGGCCTCCATTACTTTAACTTCCCTTTGTAATCAAACATTAACTTAAGAGTTTCACGGGTATTAACAGGGCAAAAAGAAAATGCAGCATACAGATGTCATCAAAGTGACTGCAATTGCAGTGAAAAAACACCCCTTCCTCAAGCAACAGGGAAAAACAAAGGCAGTACAGTTCCCAAGACTATAACAACTACTCTATCCTTCTGGAAAAGAGCCAGCAAAAGCATTTGCAAGTCTACATGCTACAACTTACTTGGACACAACGCTTTTTACAACATTTATCTTTCTTTAAAGCACATTCCCACGTCTCCAGGCATTTTTGTCAGTATTGCAATCAATCTATGAAAAACAAAGATGAATTTTTAAAAGAAATAACACAGCCTGGTGGCCACTCATGACAAGCATGCAGTAACACTGACTGCTGAGCACCCTGCAGCGACCACGTGTGAGATTTTGAAATCGATGTATTCCTGTAAAATTTGCCTGCTTCCCAACGAACACATCAGATTTGTCTGAGAGCCCCAAGTGCGTACCTTAATTAGCACAACAAAGATACCATAATCTGTGCTCATATGGTATTGACCCCATGATAAACATAAATACTTTACATATGTGATGTGCATATAAATACCTAGACAGGTATTTATTACATGTATGTCCTGCAGCTGCAGTGAGGGCTCTTCTCCCGACTCCTGGATGGAGTGACAAGAGCCAGAAAGGACTGACACAACTGCAGGTGCCACCGGGCTACATGGTCCAAGGAGGAGCTTTGTTGCTCAACGTGCACAGCTGCTGGCATTGAGGGAGAAGCCCCTGGGAAGCTTGGCAGGGGCCTGAAGAAAGGGGTTTCAGAGCCCCAGAAGAATGGCCAAAAACAGGGCAGTGCAGCAAGTGCATCCACGGCCACACGGATGAGGATCCCAAACCTGCTAACATTGCTGCCCAGAGCCCTGCTCACCTCTGCAACATCAGGGTTTCCATCCACACCATATCCATGTCAAAGGGTAAAAGGAAACACATTTTTAAAGTGTGTTAGGTAAGACCGTGTGGTCTGTATGAATAGAAGATAAAGAAAAATTCAATTTTCAATGAACTGATGGTGGTGCATTTGCAAGCCTGCAATAGGAGCACCTTCAGTCCTTTACCAGAACGTAGAGAAACTTCCAGACAGTCCATGAGCAGGGCTAGGCAAGCTGGAAGGCTGTTTTTCCCTATAAAGATATCTGAATCAGATAAACATTCAAAGCTCAGCCTGACATGAAGCATCCTGAGAGCACTGAAATTCAAGCAATTTATTATGTTAGCCACTGTGTTGTAACTGGTGCCGTGCAGTTCCTTCTACCTTCTCCTTTCCTGTCCCATGGGGAAACCTAGCAGGAGAGCAGCAGAAAGAGGCACTGCAGGACACCTGCCCTTCTCTGCATGGGAACAAGCAAGGCCAAAGGTAAAAAAAGCATCAAGTTGGGCTGGAGAGGAGCATATCTCATGATGACCCAGGGCTAGATGAGGTGGCCCTGCCAGCTGCAGGCCCTCAGGCAAAAGTGGTACCTGCAAGACGTGATGAGACAAGTCACGTTCCTAGTTTCTAGAGAAGTGTGTTGGCAAAGAATTTCCTTCCCCCCCTGCCCTCAATGTCAAATGACCCTCCAAAACCAGCCTGAACAAAAGTAGAAACACTCTTGCCTGAGTCAGAGAAGAATTTGCAATCCAAGGAGGACTATTCCCTCAAAATATCTAGGGAAAAAAACAAACAAACAAAAAAAAGAACACACAAAACAAACAAACAAACACTCTGCTGCACTCAGCCTATTATTTTTTTCTAAATGGCAATTCATCTGGCCGCATGAAGCTCTTAATTCAATGCTTTCATAAGGGGGCCAGGGCTGGGGTGCACACAGGCTGCTTCCAAAGCACCTCACTGGGGCTTTGCAGATGCTGCTTGAGAGGGAAGGCAGGTCCTGCTGCCCTGGACTGCATGTAGCTCACCTGAATTTGGGTGCAGCAGTGGGCTCGGGGACTAAGGGGAGCTAGGAAAGCAATGTGCCAAGCTGCTGCATGCACCATCGGAGAGGGTACGTGTCTCCAGCAGCTTTCTGTTAATAAAGTGTCACTTGGTAGTTCTAGCTCTAGGCAAAGAGCTACCTGGATACGTGACTGCTCACCTGCAGCCGCTAATCGCTGGTAACAGGCACGTTAGGCAGATGTGAACCATGAGGTTTTAGGTAGTAGATAAATAAAAAACTCTCTGCTTCAATTTGTAGCTTGCAAACTTGTGTAAGAGAAAACTTCTTTCAAGTGTTTATTTTTTTCATTTGTACAAAGCAAACATGGATTTTCACAACATTTCTGTATACATGTTAAAGAGAAAGACATCGGCATGTTGTATTATAGCTTTTCTGAAGGCAAGAAATAAGCAAAGCGAGATGAAGAATCTGAACACTAGAAGCATTCCCAGCTCCCTGTCCCTCCTGCAGCCTAGCCTTGCCAGTATAGCATGGCATTCCCTACCAGGTAGCACTATCACCAGTAATAGTCA